GTTTTTTTTTTTTTTTCGTATCCCAAATTTCCTAAAGAAATCTAGCTCGTCAAGCTTCTTCTGTCTTGGTGGCCAACATGGTCCTCAAGAATCCATCCATCCAATCCATCCATTTGAAAATTTTCCCCGGCCAAACTTTGCGCCTGCAGGCTACGGCCGACTCCAGCCACAGTGGGGGAGTCATGTGTCCCATACTGTACCCACGCCCAGATCTTTGATAGCCGCTGTAGGAGCCTGAAAATTTTACTTGGAGTGCGTGCACTGATCATATCTCCATGGATAGATGGATGGATCTGCACTTGCATGCAAGTTGTCGTGGGGGTGTGGTATCAGCGGAGATAGCACAGTTCAAGAGGGAGTTGGGTCCAAGTGTAGGTATCTGGTTATTCCAATGTAGCTCCAGATCAAATTAATCTAAATTACCATCTTGGGGATAATAGTTCTTCATGAGATCCTTTGAACTATCTTTCCTTCTTTCTTTCTTTCTTTCTTCTTCTCGTTTTGTATTACCTCAGGTGGTTGTAAGAAATCGTTGGCATACCCTATAGCTGACACAATCTGGAAAACTACAACATGACAACAATGTACTTAATCAGTCAGAATTCTATCAAAATGTCATTTTTATCGAATTGGTGTTTTCGGTCTAGACTGATTCTTCGGTGTGATTCAAGCTTGACTCACCTCGGTGAGCAATATGTACAATGAGACGATCCTTCGTCATGGCTTGACTTTTACGGGGTATGACTCTTGATTTAGAGGCCGGTAGTTTCTTAAAACAAGGATACACGCTTCAATAAGCGATGAAGTGTCATTTGGGCGGCTAAAGGTTTCAACATGTTCCTAGAGTATCTAGGTATATTCATTTTGAACTCTACATCGTAGCCTGAATGCTCTCATAGTCCTTGCTGAGCGTCTGGTACATCCAGACTTTGGAATAGAGACTAGCGCGAGTCTGTTGGCTGGGTTCAGTGCAGTCTTCTACAAGAGCAAATGAATTACTAGGTACCTAGTGGTTTCCACCTCTATCCTACTACATAGGGACTTGGATATGTATCCGCCTCTTACCTCTTCACTCCAAAGATTATTCCGTGGTTCGCGTGTACATTCTTCGGGATCGGGAGTTTCAGGCTACGCGCTGGAGGTAAATGTTGGCTTTTGCCTAGAGAAGAGGTGTACTGCTTAATGGGCACGTTGACAAATATTGTCCCTTGGAGAGCCTTGTGGACAAAATACACCGATCGTGGCATAATTGCCCAAGAGCGTGAGACAGAAGACAGGCGTTGTCCCGCGAACAGACCCATCTTCTTTGCAACACCCTTTCTCATCTCTCATATCATGATGGATTTCCCCCTCTCTCCCTGATCAAGTCACAGGCGGGGATTCAGGCAGGGGAATATGATGCAAGAAGCACCAGCCGAGAAAAGAGGAAATGACTGCAGAACTTCGGTGACGAGTGCGACATGTTGGTAAGCCTCAACTTTTCCATCACGAATTACAAACGTAGACACACCCTCCACCAACTCGATGGCCAGAACGGCCCGAGAACTGCAGGCGACTGATATCTGACGACGACATCATAAGAGCGAGGGTCGGCTAGTGTTGCAAAGAAATCGATGTTCTCGGATCTTCCTCGCGACTTGGCGGGCTCGTATTATGCATGGAACCATTGCAATAACAGAGCTTGTATGATCATCCTTGCTTTGTACGGCCCACACCTATGTTTGTTGCCTTTCATTGGTAGCCTCGTTAATGTTTGCCGCTGGCATGGCAATAACGCAAGGACGCCGACGATAAAGCGCCATCAATAATCACCCTTGCTCATGCGTATGATGGGATGTATAATTGTTCCGCAACCATGGTATAGCAGCAGAAGAGATCCGTTTGGTGATTTAATGCGAAATAATATATTGCCGAGCTTGATGAAGAGGTGGGTGTGATGGAGACTCCTTCGGCTTGGAAATTTCCCTCCAGGTTGACCTACATATTGCGTAAGCACGGTAGCGGTCGATTCTGGTGTCATGAGAAGGTATATGTTGAAGTATTGGACATATTTGTCTTTCAGGGAGCCCAAATATGGATTTCTGCATCGGCGGCTGTGGTCCTAGATTAGTTACGCTCTCGGCTGCGGCGCACTCCCGTATGTGGCCGGAATGATCACACGCACACGCGTAGGTTGAGTGTATGGAATAGGACTAAATGAGCTGTCATTTCCCAGTCAGTAAGATGTGGGAGATTGGAATTGTCATCTTAGGGTTGGGTTGGTAGATGCTGGATTCGGGTGATGCCTTGGTGCACAAGAAAAAGGGGAGATGCTGTGACACCACTCCGTTCGTGATAAATATGCCGAGTACGCCGAGTTGCTTCGTCAAGTCTCTCAGCAAAATGCCGAGGGATCGATGGGGGAAACGCCTTGCAAAAAACCGAGGTTTGAAAGGACCAAGTGAGACAATCTTGGAACGGACTTTTTTTTTGACAGATTTCTAACTGAATGGACGAAGTCTAGGTAGGTTACTCCGTACCTGACCCATGGATGAATCTCGGTAGTGGTAGTGACGCCGAGTCCACTAAATCCAACCGAGGAGCGGGCAGTTTAGTGAATAGATTGCCGGCGCTACAGGGCACTTGGGGGACTTGCAGTGGCGCTAAGTGATCAATGGGATTCCTAGGGCTGTTTGTCAGCCCCTTCAGGGGGTTTCACAATACCTCCAGCTAGTACCTCTGTAATTGGATGCTGGATCCGTCCGTGGGATAGGTAGACTCTCCCGCCTTAGGTACTCTCCCCTTGGGTCGTTCCAAGTCGCTACTGCATGACAGCCGGATCACTTGAGATCCGTCCCAACGTGTCTCGCTACTAACTCGACTATTTGGTGGGGAACCCCCAAAGCCGACTTCTGGCCTCTTTGTTCATGATTGCATCCATACTTGCTCTCATCTTACTCTTGTTTTATATGGCATACATACCATTGTATATTTCATCACCGCGATCCGCCATTTTCTATCTTTGTTCTTGTCCTATTTCTTCTTTTCGCATTTATTAATCCATTTTCTTTCTTGTTCAACATTCTGGCATTGCTCCCTGTCGTCGTCGTCAACCAACACCATGGCGAAGCCGAAGCTTGATAGCGAACAAAGGAGCAAGATCCTTCGCGTCATCGTCTGGTCGCTTCTTCTAGATCTGGTGAGTTACCCATCATAGATGTTTACCTTGTACCAAGCTAACCTAACTTGATCAACACCCAAGATCTCCTTCACATTCATTCTTCCTCTGTTCCCCAAGCTTCTTGAATTCTACCGTGATCGCGAAGCACCATCCCTCCTCCTCAAAGATGCATCGGAGAAGACGCTTCTTCAAATGGTTCTCGGCGGTTTGAATACGTACAAGGCCTATTTCTCTCGGCCAATTGACTCCCGATATGACATTATTCTTCTGGGCGGAGCAATGGGCTCTCTTTTCTCGTGAGCGACCTCTGCGCTTTACACTCAACCAGGCTCCTATTGAGTTGCTAATGATCCAAAAAGGTTGCTCCAAGCTGTCGCTTCTCCAACAATTGGTCGTCTATCCGACAAGTACGGTCGCCGAAAGGCCCTCCTCGCTTCCATGGTTGGCAACATTTTGTCCGTACTCCTCTGGGTTGCCGCTGTTGACTTTCGCACCTTCATCGCTAGTCGTGTGGTTGGCGGCCTATCTGAGGGCAACGTTCAACTAGCGACCGCCATGGCATCCGACATCTCAGACTCCAAATCACGTGGCTCAACCATGGCCATGGTTGGTGTCTGCTTCTCCGTCGCATTTACCATTGGGCCGGCTCTGGGGGCTTGGTTGAGCACCATTTCTACCTTTTCTGCAAACCCATTTGCGACTGCTGCGGGTTTTAGTCTGGCCTTGCTTGTTATAGAGACCGTATTTCTTTACCGCGAACTGCCAGAGACATTACCCTCCATGATTGAAATCAAGTCTAAGAAGGAAGATGAGAAGGAAAATGGCGAGGAAAAGCCGGAGCCGGAGTCAAGGGTGGTAGAGAGGTCGAACTCTTTTGTCTTGCTCAATGGTGTGCATTTTGTCTTCCTGCTTTTCTTCTCCGGAATGGAAACCTCTTTGACATTTTTGTGCTATGACCTCTTCGCATTTACCCCTGCGAAGAACGGCAAGTTGCTGGGCTTCGTTGGTCTTATGGCGGCCCTTTTCCAGGGCTCCTTTACGCGAAGAATGCGGCCTCTCGTATCTATTCGCATCGGTGTCGGAGCTTGCCTGGCGGCCTTTATTCTTCTTGCTCGAATCTCCAGTGTCGGCGGCCTGTATCTCGCGGCCTTTTTTCTAGCCATGACTTCGGCTACCGTCGTTACGTCACTCAACGCCCTGACCAGCTTTGAGGCCAAGACGACCGAACGTGGTAGTAAGCTGGGAGATCTGCGGAGTTGGGGTCAGCTAGGACGGGGTCTGGGGCCTATTTTGTTCACGAGCGTGTATTGGTGGGCAGGAAGGGAGTATGCCTACAACATGGGCGCGGTGGGAATCCTGGCTCTTTTCGTGGTGGTACTGGTTGGATTGAAGCCGCCAAAGCTCACCGAAACTGAGAAGCTTGAGGAGGCTTCAAGCAAAGTCAAAGTTCCTGTCCAGAAGAAGGATTGAGAGTATGAATATAGTGCATTTGTAGGTAGGATATATCTTGTATCATAGCAGAATGGACCTAGATAAGCGCAAACCCCATCTTAATAGAAGAAGATAACATATATGTGCGTGCTAGTTTATTCTCAACCTTACGAATTGTTCCCTCTGTATTGATGCTGATGTGAGTAAATAGGACTTGGTTGTTGGTGAGTGATGCTGTCTTGAAGCTCAACTTGGCTGGTTACGAGATCATCCCCCAAATGCAAACAGATAGAATCAAAGAAGAAGAAAGAAAATAAAAAGAAATGAAGGAAATAAAAAAGAGGTAATACTAAGTATCATTTATTATAAATAAATAACAAGAAGACGAAGAAAAAAAGAAATTGAACCTTACCCGCACTGGGATTTGCACCCAGATCCTTGGCTGTCACCTTACGCCTTTTTTTCGCGCATAGGGGTCCAACGAGTTTCTATTACTCTATACGGGCCTTGTGTTTTTTTTTGCTGTTGCTTCAAACCACTCGACCAAAGGGGGACCTAGGCTTTGCTTTATCTGTTGAAGAGGTGCGCTCTTGTTTTGCTATTTGGATAGTTGGGGAGTGACGGGGAGTGTTGAGGAGTGTTGACAGCTGGCTAGGGGTGGCAGGGCTATGGGGGCGATGACTACCACTCTATGGATGGTGCGAGGCCCAATTTAAACTGAAGAACTACATAAGAGAATGACCTTGGTGAATGGGGAGGTCTATTAATACAGTCTTGACCTCTAGATGCTGAATATCTCAGGGGTATGAGACTGCTCTCGATTAAGATCACCAGTGTCTAGAATGTATCAAGGCTTCCATCGTTCGCCTCCAGTCTATACGCATAAAAGTAAATAGCTATCAAGAAGAAACACGCTAGCTCGTTGTAATGTCTATGGTAAGCAAATAGCAATCCCGCTTTACATGACTGTTCCCCCAGCTCCAGGACATCTCCATGTCTATGAGTACACTCCGCCCTGCACCCTCATTCTCAAACATGAACCTTCGCCATTAAGAACCCATAGGCCTCTTCCTGCTTCTTCGTTATACAATTCAAAGAAAGACATATGCAAAGAAAGGATGATCCAACGCCAACGCAACATGCAAATGACCAAACCACAGCCAACCACAAACCGCACTTCCCTCTCAACCGGCCTTTCGGACCACCAATGTTGATGGGCAGTATTATAGCAGTCTTGTAAAGCTTGTCCATCTCAGCCATTGAATGATCTACTCCTTTTCCTCAGAAAGAATTCTTGATGCAACTCCGAAAAGGGCGGCTCAGGGACAGGCTCATCCATCGTCTCAAGTCTGACCAAAGTAGGCACCAAAGTGCGCCTGTTGATTTCCCATCGCATGTAAGTCGGATTTTTCACCCTCTCGTGCTTTTTGAGATACTCGAGCCGGGCCATCATGAGCTCTCTCCAACACCTACGACCCAAGGGTGGAACCCTATCAGGGTGCCAGGTGAATCGTGCCCCCCGACGTTCTCCCTCACGACGTATACCACGAATATGAATGGGTGGATCTTTCTCTAGGATCATTGAGAACCAGAAAGCCTTGTTCTCATTGTATTCGATCTCGCCGAGAGACGGAAGCTGAGAGGTGGTGGCGCGTCTTGGGTGATTGAGTTGATAGGGCAACAACTGTGCCTGGATTGGTTCGACAACTAGACCCCCGCCACTATTACCGCCATTGCTCTTAACAGCATCCATAGAAACATCGCTCTGGTTATGCGCATTGTTATCAACTTCACCACCATCGACATCAATGCTATGGACTTCGTTAGCTTCGTTGTTTGTAATCTCGTTATGCTAGGTGTCGTGTTTCATGCTTACATTCCAATCCCACTATCATCGGCCTCGTTGTTGGGGGGCTCGTCGTCGTCCTTTATGCTTACGTCGTTCCCACTGTCATAGTGGCCATTACCGTTGACTACATTGCTATTGACTCCATTGGTGTAATTCCTGTTGCCATATGGGATATTGTATGGATCATTGTAGTGTGCCTCGTTGTGCTCTCCATGGCCATTAAGCCCATTGGTGTGGATTCCATTGCTATTGATATCATTGCCATGATAACCGTTGGAGGCTCCATTAACATGCATCCCATTGGCATGGAATTCATCGGTGTAGATTCCATTAACAGGTGGATTATGAGAGCCATCGCCATTGACTTCATTGCCGTGATAATTGTCAGAAGCCCCATTGGCATACATCCCGTTGGTATGGATTCCGTTGGTGTGAACCCCGTTGACATAGACGCCGTTGGCAAATGGTACTCCATTGGCATACACTCCATTCATGTAACCTCCATTACCGTTTGATGCGTTCACATTTCTGTGTACGCTATACATAATGTCAATGGACATGGCAGCAGTCGCTGAGAGAGGGCCATTCCAAATGCCATCTCCGTCGCTGTCTTCACCAAGCACGACAAGAGACTGATTCAAAGCGCTAGTCAAATCGCCATCCATGTCGACGTCTTCATCGTCGTTGTGGTGGACATCGGCAGCGTAGTCTCTAGGTCCAAATAGGCCGCCAACTTCGAATTCGCGATCTTCTAGAAAGGACGGGTTCAGGAGGGTTGCGTTACTGATGACGGCGTTTAGAATGAATCCACGCCTGAGGACCCCGTTTATCATGGTTCCACGAATAATGGTTCCGAGTTCGATGACTCCGCCGATGAAAGTTCCCCGTAGGATAGACTCGCCTCGGAGTTCTCGGTCTTCTTGTCGTCTGCGCCTGCGCCCACCTCCATTGGCTGGGACTTGGCTTTGAGACATGGTGGGGAATTGGTAGGAGCCTGCGAAACGGTTGGAAGAGGGGCCCCCTTTCTATCATTCGATGGGTAAGAGTTGAACGAGCGTCTCCGATGGGGAATTGAGTGATTTCTCTCGAGGTTGGAGTTAAATGATGACCAGAATAGCAATAGACAATAGAGTTGGTCCAAAAAACGAAACAAAAAAAACTTCTAGTGAGTGTGGTTGAAGCTTAGAAACACCTTGAAATGATAGACAGTGGAAGAGAAACAAGGTGTGAAAGAAGTAGGAATATGGGGAGGAGGAAAGGGGAGAGGGAGGGGGGAGGAAAGTGAAAGGCGAGGCAACTCAGCTTCAGATGGGTAGCAGTTGCAAAACCCGTTGACAGTGCATTCGTCAAGGTCAACTGACCATGACCTCGGTCAAAGTGAGAGCAAGTGAAACTCATCCTCGGCCACGCAAAAATACTACTACCTAGCAATACGCCTAATGGTTATGTGGTGCCTGTAGTTCTCCGAGTTCTTCATTGTAAACAACTCTGCTGGCTAGGAAAATATTTCTTCTACTCATAAAAAAGATGATAAGCCTCTCCTATCCTTTTAACGATCTGCACCGCCTGATTCACGGATATGCCAAGGGAAGTCTGTCAACTGCCTGGGTTCCTACGAATCACAATACGGTTCCAACTGACAGACGAAAGGCTCAACTTCGGATTAAAGTATACTAATAAACGAGTTTCGATATTATCCTTATCAAGTTACTTCGATCGAAAAAGATCTCTCTTCTATTCAACATGTCTAAAGCTGTGCTTGACAACCGCCAGGTAACATTCTAGAATATCTCTTTTCAACAAACATACGTACAATTTTCGTCCGTCAAACCAATTTCTGCGTTGCTAATATCATTATTTAGTTTGCTTCTGCAATCCCCAGTTTGCCAATAGGTCAGTGGAAGGCAATGTTGCGTTATTCTCTCAGCTCCCCTTCCGATTCGATGACACTGTTTTTCAGGTGCCCCAAGAACATGACAACGATGCGCAACCGGTTGAAGCACGCCATCTAGTGCGTACAGCATTGCAGAGAGAGATTCTAGCAGCTCGGAGATGAATGCCATGTGCGATGTGACACCGCGTCGGGTCGTCGAGCATAGGCATCACAACATAAAACGGTCTCACGCTGGACCGCACATCAAAGAAAACAATGGGCGCGACTCTCGCAGCTGCGATCAAAAGACGATAAGAAACTCTGATTCAAGCGCATCTTCATTCAGCTACAAGACCGAAACACAACGACAAAAATGGGGGTATCCAAGCACAATCGAACACCACCGACGCCAGCAAAACAAGACTGAGCAACTCCAATACCACGGCCCAAGTCCTTTTCCCCCTCTAACCCCTCCCAATAAGCTCAACGCTTTGAGCAGCAAACAATTTATCAACTGGCCACCACGGTCCTCCTATACTATATACTATTTTCGTCAAAGATGCATACGTAAACGTTTTTGGGTCTGAAACATCACAATCAGCTCATTGGCATGGATCATAAGTCGTGGGATGTAGCCAACGTTGTCACCTCCCTCGTCCACCTAGGAGAGTGCAAGGACGAAGCGAAGACCCTTTGATCCCTAAAGGTACGTTAGATTTGGTATCAATTAATGTCAAGACAGTATTACTTACCTTGTAAGGAATAGGAATGAAATAGTCAGAAGCCATCTCGCAGTCTCGGGAGGTAGTTTCATAGATCTTGATGCAACCAACATCGCCCTCCCGGCGGTCACCATCATCAGATCCACCAACAACACCACCGCTTCCCCACCGACGGAAAAACTTGGCCAGCATAAGATATAGCTCTGCAGTTACCAAGGCCTGACCCAGGCACACACGAGGGCCGCCGCCAAAGACAGTCAAGTACGAGTCGAGTCGTTCCTCGCTATCAAGCCAGCGCTCAGGACGGAAGTCAAGAGGGTCGGGGAAGAGGGTAGGGTCCATGATTGTCTTGTAAGGGCTCATGCTAATGACGGTGTTGGGAGGGATGTAGCAGTCTTTTCCAGTGGCAGGGTCGCGGATACTGAAGGACTCATCGGGGGCAATGCGAGGAAGTCTTCCACTGGTGCCGATTCCATGACGGAGCGACTCTTTGACAACAGCTCGGAGATACGGCAAGCTCTCTAGTTGGGTGAGGGGAACGATTTGATTGGGATCCGGGATGGCGGCGAAAAGCTCGTTCCGCAGCTTGCGAAGAGTCTCTGGTCGGTTAAGGAGGTGGAAGGTTGCCAGGGATAAGGTCCAAGAAGTTGTAAGAGTACCACCTTGGACCAGAATCTGGCCTTCCTGTGCAAGTCGCTCGGGGGTCTTTTCCTGCTCAGGAAGAAGCTTGGAGGAGATCAATTCGTGGAAGATGGTTGGGTAGTTAACGTCGAGTTGCCACTGCTCGGTGTTCTCGGAAGCCTTGATTTCCTTGATTTGGCTGAGGATATCATTCTTCATCTTGAGCCAACCGCCCCAGCCTACAGTTTTGTTAATCGATTTGAAGTCGTTGCCAGAAAGAGTCGTTGCAGATGGACTCACCAGGAATGCAGAAACCCGACACAGACTCCGGCAGACTCATGACAATGGCGAGAAGCCAGTTGGCGTGCTTGATCAAAGGACCCATGTGCGTTCCTAGAAGGAGATTGTCGGTAACCTCGGCGCCAAAGTCGGATGCATCGA